TCTTGATTAGATTCACTTCAGTTCACTCCCCGACCCCTTATCCTCCGAGAAGGAACTGTGCACAGCCTTCAGCATCTGCTCCATAGTCAGGTCCTTAGGCAGACTTCCATCCCCAGCTGTAAGTGGGAAGCTGACAGGGTAGTTTTCCTAATCGGTGTGCCTAACCTTTTCTGCATGCACCCGGATGCACTGTCCTGTGAACAGGCTCTGGAGATCCTGGGTTAGGGAGACCAGCCGCTTTGAGAACCTCTTAGTCCTGTAGGTCCCTGTCCACCAAGTTTCTACAGCTACCGTTTTCATCAGGACACCTGCGCCTGCTTGCAAGAGTCAATCACTAATTGGTCTATGCTCTTTTGAGATTCTTTCACAGAAGGAGGGGTTACTGGATACTTACCTTCATTTCCGGACATTCCTCCCAGCCATTTGTATGTAAATACACCCCAGTTGCATGTGGTTCGGGGGGTCTAGAGAGGGACTAGAATACCGAAGCTATAGAAAGTTAACTGGAAGGTCTCTATCTTTGTGACCCTGGCAAGGGCGTCACGCATCCTGGATACCAATAGATCTTCTCTGCAACCCCATACTCCTCCTTAAGTAAGCCTGTAAAACTTAGAGGTTGCCTGCCGGAACCAGGCTCTAGTTTGGCACTGGGAATTTGTGAGCAGGGATAGATGTGTTTTGAGTCTCCCCAGAGAAGGAATTCTCACAACACCCTGGTTCCCACAAAATTGTCTGGAAGGCCCAAGGTCCGTATGTGTGACGCAGGCACCCTCCAGTCCGCAGAACTCAGCTTCTCCGTGGTGATAGCTCACACCTCAGGTCGGAGTGTGGCATGCAGGATGCTGCCAGCCTCCCGGGACAGCACAAGGGTGGCCATGCTTGGAAGATCTCTCCGGGCTAGCACTCCAGCAACTTAGCTAGAGACAACTCGTGTCTTATGTTTGTCTGTGATGTTGTTTCCAGGTTCTTTTATTCAAGCCAGATGTGTTGGGCTCCCCCAAATTATTTCACAGACAAAGAAATATCAAACAGCCAAAGTGTTGCTTGAGTTATGAAGCTAGGAGCGGGTTATAATCTTGTTTCTTGTAAAGACAGCAAAGTGGGACCAGGCAGAATCTTCTCTCTGCAGTTACACACAGAGAGAATCGGTTCATCAGGCAGGGGGTGGGGTGGGGACTAGGGCAGCAAGCATGGAGAATCGGAGAAGGAGAGGAGAACGGAGGAGAGCAGAGCAGGCTGAGCGACTCTGAGAACCTAGAGCCAGACGGAGGACATAGGAAATGAGAGCGACTTCCCCCAATAGGCCAATCCTAGAACCCACCAGATTTGGAATGCCAGTGTACACTGCTATGCCCTTGTGCAGCTCTTACCCCGGGGAAGTGAAATAAAGCCCTGGTGTTCACATGGCTCCATCCTCAAGCCTCGGGCTGGCTCATGCCTCCACGGGCACCCATCACAGTTGCAATCTGCAGAGTCTGCGGTGTGAGAGGACATAGCAGCTGTTTCCCCACGGGGTGGGTGACTGCAGCCCCAAATAGAACTTGGTGGCTGTGTGTCTTCATCAATGTGGTTGTTTTTATCTGACTTTGGTGCATGCCAAGCTGAGATGCTGCGCACTAGCTGAGTGTCACAGCCAGACCCTTGGTGCCTACAGAACTCTGTTGGAATGTGCTGGATGGGACATCAAAACTCCTGACTATTGGCAACGTGTCCATAATTGGTTTCAGATGTTCCCAGCATGGAGTTCTCTAACCTTATTATGCCACGGAATTCAGAAAAGCAACTGTTTTCCCAGGGGAAGGCTAGGTTTACAGGTTGACCTCTTGCCCTTATGAACTCACCTTGAAGTCAGAACCTGGTCACCTATACAAGTCAGCCTCCTGTGGTCCATGATCTGGGCTGCCTGGGACCTCAGCGTCATGCTGGGTCTGTCCAGGAGGGATGTCGTCATAGCTGCTGGTTTGTTTTGGTTTGCTCTCTCCCTTTTTAAGATTATCTCTTTTTGAAAGTTTTCAGTAAGTTCGCTGAACACTGAAGCAAGTGACAGCAATAGCAAAACCTATCTTTCAGAGTCATCAAATCTGAAAACATAAACCAGTTCATTGTTTTTAAAAAAGTGTGTATGTGCACGTGTGCATGCATGCGTAAGTGGGTGTGCATGCGTGTGAGTGTATGTGCGTGCATGCAAGTGTGTGTGCATGTGCGTGCATGTGCCTGCACGCCTGTGCAGGTGGTAGAAAAGACCAGAAGAGAGCATTTACCTCCCCCCTACCTGGGTCACCAGAGGGATGTCCAAAATACATCAGGTCTTTTCCTTCCTTCCTGCTCTGTCCTCGGGACCACTGACAGGGATTCCCGGCTGGCTTTCTGTGCTACGGGCTCCATCTCTTTCTGTCTTTTCTGCTCGGCCTGTGGATGCTGGGGTTACTTCTTGGAATGCTGCCCAGGTCCGGAGAAGGCTTAGGGGACACACTTCAGAAGTGTCATCTAAAGCAGAGCAGCCACCCCTCCATCATCTTCCTTTTCCAGCAGAGTGGCCCAGGGGGTGTTTCAAAAGAGCAAGAAGTTATGATTAGGAAATGCTAGCATTAAATAATTTCCCCTCCTCTCTGTACCAAATCCCAGCAGGACCTTGCAAATCTCTCAGCCCCTTCCCTTCAGTGTCCTGTGTTACGTCTGATTCCAGCATTTGCTCTTTCCTGGCTGTAAGCGTCCCCTAGCTCCTCCCCTGCTCTTCCTCTGAGTCCTGGATACTGAGCCCAAGATACTTTAAAATCACAGATGCTTAAGACTGGAGAGTGTTTTGACAGGTTCACCCAGGTTAACAGTAAATGTTTTCTCTCTGGTTTTGCCTGATTGGTGCCAGAGAAAAGTTCAGCACATTGTGGATCTTCCACATGTTTGCCCGCTCCTGGGCGGGCTCCCTGGGTGACAGGTGAAGCTTCCCCTTTGAGCCTTCACTCAGCAGCCTGCTAGGAAGCAGGGATGCTAAGGGAGACACCTACCTGCCGCTTAGCATGTTGTCAAGGGGAAATACCGCGAGCTGAGCGGGTTCTCTCTGAAATTACAACCGAAGTTCTCTCACTGCTGCCTGACCAAGGGTATGGTGGCAATGTACTTCTTATCTGGCCCGTGCCTAGGTCTAGCTGATGTCTCTGCACAGAGGTTCTGATTGTGTTTGGCTAACGGGATTATTTCATTCCCCTGATCTGTATGGACAGTAGTTCTGAGTCCGGCTCGAGGGTGAGTGGCGTGCAGTGGACACACTCCAATCCCACATGTGCGCGCCATCGTCAGGGCACACACGTGTTGCTGTGGACGGTGATTGTGGGAAGAATTCTGAGGAAGTGATAGCCTGCCTGTCGAGCAGTCACAGCGCAGGGAGGACCTGGGGAATGGGGGTGGAAGAAAGGCCTCCAGGATTGCCAGTATCTTACAGGAAGAAAAGGGAATTCCCAGGAGAGTGAAAGACTGGTGAAAGGACCCTGAGCCCATCTGATGAGCGGATGAAGGGTGGGCTGAAGAGGTGGGTGACCCAGAGAAATGACTCGAAGGTAGTGGTGTCACCAAAGCTCACCCCAACACAGGTAACGGGTCACAGAAACTAGAAACCTAGAGCATGCCACACAGCCTGCAGGCAGCTCAACGGGCTGGAGAGTGTTCTTCTGTATACTTCAGCTGGTTCAGTGTCTTCTAGGTTGTTGGGGGATGGTTGTTTGTTGTTGTTGTTGCTCTTGTGTCTTTTCTATGCACTTCAGCTGGTCTGAGCGTCTTCATGAAGTATGTCTTGTCTGAGAGTGACTCTCAGCAGTCGTTACGGGTTACTCTTGGGAGGAAGGGGCCTAGAGATAATCTGATTGGTTTCAGGGACTTCCTGAAGCTCTTCTGAGTTGACTACTTCCTGTCTTAGGGCTCTTCCCTATAGGATGGATGACTTCACTTCCCCTTAGAACATCCTATTGTTTCACCTCCTGGTAAATCTCCCGTCCTAAAATATCCTGCTGTTTTGCTTATCCCATGTCTTAAGACCTTCCTTCCGAGACGGAGGGGACTGCTACACACAGCCTCTCTATGGATCCGCTTTCCACCCCCTATCTTTTCCTATGTTTGAGATCTGGCTGTGAGCACATCTCTGGTATGATCTCATGAAGTCACCCATAGCCACATGATAATGTGTGACATCGTCTCCTTACAGATAAAGACATTGTCTCCTTACAGATAAAGACATTGGGAACATGTTGCATTTTTTAAAAATCATTATTGGGACTAAAGTAGAAAAATGGGACAATGACTTGAGACCTTGCTTTTAGACTTTTGCACTCAAAGCTGCTGAAAGAACATGCGTTGGGTGTCCTTATCAGGTACCCAAAGAGAGCACCATGTGAGATACAATGTGTTAACATACTTGACAGTTGAAACACTGTGTGTTTCAAAACATCATATCACCTACTTTGTGAACATCCAGGGTTTTAAAAGGTTGGAAGGTGTGGTGGTTTGAATGAGAAATGTCCCAGCAGGTGGTGCTGTTGGGGAGATGTAGGTGACAGCCTTGCTAGAGGAAGTGTATCCTTGCCAGGTGGGCTTTGAGGTAAAAACATAGCCTCTCCCCGCTTCCAGTTTGCTCTCTCTGCTTCGTGCTTGCAGTTTGAGGATGTGAGTTTTCTGCTTCCCATCCTTGATGCCACGTCTGCCGCCGCCATGTTTTTCTAACATGGCGGAGTCTTATCTCTCCGGAGTCAAGTCCAAATAAACTTCTTCTTCTCTGCTTTGCCTTGGTTGTGGGATTTTATCACAACAAAGGAAAAGTAATGAATACAGGTGTGGAGGAAACACCAAGAAATGGGATGACCAGGGTCTTGTGTGTGCGTGCACGCCCATACCGTAGATTGGGAGCAAAGATTACCTGTCCAGCTGAACATCAAACAGTGGTTGGCTTTCCTCTTTTTGTTTATAAAAAGCCTTTCCAGCTGCTTTGCAGACGCCGCTGTCCCCTCTCACCGCTTGCTGCAGCCATGGTCAGCCCCATCGTGTTCTTTGACATCGCGGCTGATGGCGAGCCCTTGGGCCGCGTCTCCTTCGAGCTGTTTGCAGACAAAGTTCCAAAGACAGCAGAAAACTTTGGTGCTCTGAGCACTGGAGAGAAAGGATTTGGATATAAGGGTTCTTCCTTTCACAGGATTATTCCAGGATTCATGTGCCAGGGTGGTGACTTCACACGCCATAATGGCACTGGCGGCAGATCCATCTACGGAGAAAAATTTGAGGATGAGAACTTCATCCTGAAGCATACAGGTCCTGGCATCTTGTGCATGGCAAATGCTGGACCAAACACAAACGGTTCCCAGTTTTTTATCTGCACCACCAAGACTCTGGATGGCAAATATGTGGTCTTTGGGAAGGTGAAAGAAGGCATGAACATTGTGGAAGCCATGGAGCGTTTTGGGTCCAGGAATGGCAAGACCAGCAAGAAGATCACCATTTCCGACTGTGGACAACTCTAATTCTTTTGACTTGTGGGCTTCTTACCCACCAGACCATTCCTTCTGTAGCTCAGGAGAGCACCCCAGCCCCATCTGCTCACAGTACCCTGTAATCTCTGCTCTCACTGAAGTTCTTTGGGTTCCATATTTTCCTCATTCCCCTTCAAGTCTAGCTGGATTGCAGAGCTAAGTTTATGATAATGAATAAAAACTAAGTAAGAACTGTAAAAACACAAAAAAGCCTTTCCTACCCCTGAGTGGATATTTTTCTCTGTACTTGTTATCTGGGTTTCCCCCTTTGTGTAGCCCACAGCCAATGACAATGTTCTATGGCCCAGGAGTCCTGGGACCTAGAACAGACTATGGCATTCTGTGCTTGATGCTGCAGGTAACCAGTTGAGGCTGGGGCTGATAGATGCCACACTTTGGACATTTTGATGCAAACTGGGTACCCTGGGCAACAGTCAGCTCACCCTGAGATGTGGTTTCTGCTGCCCAGGTTAAAATAGTTGCTGGGTTTACTACCTGCTCTATTTTGCATCCAGTTTGCATTTATTTCTATCTCCATTTTTGAACAGTTCTCTCATGTAGTCATAGTTGGCTGGATACAGGTGAAGTGTGTGTGTGTGGGGGGGGGCTCTTGTTCTTTCCAGATAGTGGTAGTTACTCCCCCTATTCTCTTCTATTTGCCTGTTGATTCTCTAGACAGGCAAGAACCAGACCCTGCTAGAAAATTCAGCCAGGCCAATGAAGTGCCCAAATACCCCCTCCCCCCTTACAGAGGATGCAGATGTAATGATTGAACAACAAGACAAAGATGATGAGACACACTCCTGGAAGCTGCCTGGCCCTGTCTTGTGCTCTTAGGAACATGTTTCCTAAACTCTGGAGGCTGGGGCAAGGCCTGTCACTGCATCGATAGGAGTGAAATGTGATTTGGGGGCTTCTTAGTCAGAGCCTGGCTCATGAGCTCTATACAGTAGTACCTCCCTGAAACCCCCTGGGGAAAGGAATCTTGAGTACAGGCATAGACAAGACCTCCCCAGGCTGCTGCTACCTCATCTCCCTGGACCTGCTAAAACAGGAAGAGACTGGAGTCCCTGAGACTCATCTTTCCTAAGCCCTAGGCCTAAAGCCCTCATCTCCACGGACCCCACGTCTCCTCTGACAGTGGCACTGGGATTGGGTAAGATCTGTCCCAGGGCAGCTTGCACACTCAGGCTGCCGAGGACCTGTGCCTGCTTGCCTTGGGAATGCCACCCCAGTCCACAGCTCTCCAGAAAGCCTTGTTTTGCTTTCCTCTTTTTTTTTTTTTTTTTCTCAGATGTCATCCAGGGAGTCCCAGCCGAGTGAGCCAGCTATCTGGCTCCACAATGCCCCTCCAGGCTAGGGGCAGAGGCCTGTTTACTTTGTATCTGATGAGTAAATCAAGTGGAACAAAGTCAAAAGCTCCATGAAGCCAGCACACATGACATCTGTCACTTCCCCTTAACCCATCGCGCTGGAGGAAAGGACATTGAATTAATTAGAAGGTTCTTTAAAATGCTTGCCAGCAGAAACTATCCTTCTCTCTCCCAGGCCCTGGCAATCAAAACTGACACATTTTTACCTTATTGTTCATTCTCTAACAGGCTTTGGTCACAAGTCCATGTAGCATTTTTCTTTTGCAAAATGAACACTGTGGCTACTAACATTCGTTAAAACTACCAAAATCAAACCTCTGTGTATATGTGCCTTTGTGAGCATGGGTACTCTTGCCTATGCACATGTGTATGGAGGCCTAAGGTGGACATCAGGTATCCTCCTGGCCTGGAGTTTATATGGGTGCTAAGGGATCTGTACTCTGACTCTCGTACAGCAAGCACTTTACCCACCGAGTCATCTGAACCTTGCCTCTCTATGAATGTGTCCACTGCCGATACCTGGAATTGTCGCCCCCATTCGGTTAGCCACATCAGCTAGGCTGTCTGTAATTGAAAGGCTAAAGCATCAGTCCAGGAAGTGATCCTCTGGGGCTCTGTGATTCGCCAGTTTAATCCAATGGTACATTGGTATCTGTTGACCTGCTCAGCCTGCCCATACCTGGGGAGGAGTGACTATGGAGCCCAAGGATGCTATTGGCAGCCTGACCTCTCATCTCAGGTAGACCCATGTGTAACTCTGACTGTGGCTTCCTTGTTGCTCTTAACATCAGGTAAGAACATCCAATAGTCAGGACACTGAGGCAGCCATGTCTGCTTAAAATCTTCGTTCTTTTCAATGGTGTGTTTTCCTTGAGCAAGAGCTGTGGACATATGCTGCCAGGACAAAGGACCAAAAATGCATAATGCAAATTCTGTAGGTCAGACAACCAGCATGCGTCCCAGAATTCAAAACAATATGGCTGCTTATTGGTTCTCTGTGCTACGAAGCCAGTGCTTCCATTTCCCTGATACGTGAATGTTTACATCTTCAAGACAACAATTCCCATCAAATTTTTCTGTTGCTTCTGCTCTCTCTGACTTCCTCTTCTGCCAATGGTCAGGGAAAGGCTGCTGGCAAGAACTCATACGATGAGAGTCAGGCCCACCCACATAACACAGGGAAGTCTCCCTGTGCTCAGGGCAGCCAATTAGTGACCTTACCCAGATCTGCAGAGTCTTTGGCGTCCTGGAATGTATCCATGGGAGTTATCCCAAGGAGCAAAGGTCAGGGGTAAGGCTACCACCCACCGCATTTCCTCTTTCAGAATCAGTGATGAATGCAGGAAATAAAATCCTCTTAATTTTTTTTTTTTTTTGTAGCCCTGACTAGTCCGTAGGAGGAGGATTAATAGAGACAATCATGTTCTCTGATCCTTGAGCCATGGTGTCCTCCCCTGCTCTGGCTGCCATCTAGAAAGAAGAGGGGAAGACGCTGAGGTCCCAGCACACATACGAGGTCTGTTATTAGCAAGCCCCCTTCTTTGTCAGCTTCTGAAGACACCAGAAAACCCTGCCAGGACATGCGGACCCTCACCTGAACACCCTTCTCACTTCTTGAGAAGCCTTGGGTCAACATTATCACAAGGCCTCTGAAAACTTCTGCCGTCACTGGGGCAACCCTGCCCCCATGTCAGCCCCCATCACAAGTGATGTGTGGAAGGATTCCCTCTGGAGGACTGGGGTGAAGATGCTGCAAAGGTACCCACCCCGGAGCTCTGGAGACACTTGGTACTGCATGGGTAGTGGCTGACAACCTGCTGATCCCGTGTGCCTTCCTGAGCTGCACAGGTGACGCAGACCTTAAGCCACACCACTTCGTGTGTTAGAGTGGGCTTATGGTCCTTGTACTCTGAGATGCAGAAGCCTTGGCAAGAGGTGGGTGGGTCTCCCTGAGAGAGTGGCAATCCCACCCTAGCCTCAGCCTGAAACACAAGACCACATGACACAAAGAGATGTCCCAAAGGCCACCTCCTTCCCCAAATCTTCCCCAAGGTTCCAGACCTGCAGTGTACACTAATGTTTATATTGGCGGATTGCCTTGTGAAATGATATTTTGTGTTCGAACGATGTTATGGAGTAACTTAGAAAAACACACGGTGGAACACCGTCAGGATGAGGGCACAGCGGGAGAAGATGGGTGACGTGGAAACATGGGAAAGACCACTAGGAAGTCCTGAACCCTCGGAGTTTGGGGGACTTTTAGGGACAAGTCTAAGCTAAAAGCAAAAGAACTGTAATCAAACACATTCGGGAACACTGTCCCCCCCCCCCAGCTCTGGAGAGTCATGGCGCATTAGTGGGAGAATCCCCAGGCTTCCTTGTGGTGAAAGATCTGGCTAACACCTCCCCCATCCCCCATCACACCATCACACACACAATGTTTGTTTTGCTGTTGTTTTAGCAACAAGATGAAATGGGTAAGTTGTTTTCCAACCTGCCTTCTTCCCTACTCAGTACAGATCATAAACGTTTTTCCAAGTCATTAACTGTTTTTCTCAGTTTCCGTAATAGCTGTATTAATATTCTATTTCATGCTTAGATCATAATTTATGTCCTCAAATCCTATTATAGTCTTTTTTTCAGGTTAGCTCCCATTTTTAAACCAATAAATAACCCTCTATAAACAGCTAACAGCTCAATTTTTGTGGACATTTCGGATTGCATCCGTAGAATATGACTCTTGCTGCTGTATTTCTAGGTCAAAAGCGACACGGGTTTTAGAATGGGCTTTTAAAATACATTATTTTCCTGTTGATTCTTTACAATAACATTAAGCTTATTATTGAATTTTGATATAATTCTAAGCAGAAGAGCTGCAAGAAGTATGCAAGGGGCTGTTGTGAGCCCCCAGAGAGGGGGCTGCAGGCAGGCGTCCCAGCCCTGTGGGCTTCTTGAACACAGGTCACTCTAGCATGGCCACCAATTGCAGCAGGAAACGGAGTGGGTACCTTATCATGCTTGAGGTCTCAGACTCCCTTCAGGTTTCCAGTTGTCCAAAAATTGTCCGTCTGTCCTTCCTTCCTTCCTTCTTTCCTTCCTTCCTTCCTTCCTTCCTTCCTTCCTTCCTTCCTCCCTCCCTCCCTCCCTCCCTTTTCTTCCTTTATGCCTCCACTCCTCTTTCTCTTCCTCCCTCCCTCTCTCCCTCCTTCCTCCCTCTTCCTTCCTTCCTTCCTTCCTTCCTTCCTTCCTTCCTTCCTTCCTTCCTTTCTTTCTTTCTTTCTTTCTTTCTTTCTTTCTTTCTTTCTTTCTTTCTTTCTCTCTGTGCAGGTATTTAAGCCCAGAAGAGGGCACTGAATTTCCTATATCTACAACAGGCAGTTGTAAACCAGTCATCATGGGTACTGGGAACCAAACTCTGGTCATCTGCAAGAATAGCAAGTACTGTTAACTGCTGAACCATCTCTCCTGTGCCCCCAAATTGTTCTTTATATGAAAATTGTTGAGTCACAATCATGGCTTACACTTAGCTGTTTTGTCTCTTCCAGTCTCTATGCTGTAGTGATTTCCTAGACCTTCATAAACTTGGCACTTCTGGAGTCAGTATACTGGTCATTCTGGGGCAGAGCCTCTAGCTTGGAATGTCTTCTTCACAGTCCCACATGTCCATGCTTGGCGGGAGCATCCTGGAGCCAATGCTTTGTGGTCCTCATTGGATCCCAGCCGTGGCTGTCCGTCATCGCATCCCTGGAGATGCTGGTGCTGATGGTGTGGCTAAGGTGCAGCCCAACAGCCTTCTCT